CCAAGAAGCCCACAGACTACGGGAGGAATTGAATAGCTGAATAGATAACTAGAGTGACTTCTTACTGTGGTTGCAGGAATAACCTCAGGGAAGCACAGGGAAAGGCAAACTTCCTGCTACCTCAGGCTCTCTGGAGTGAGGTTAGCCAGGCTCGGCTGAGCTCTCAGGAGCCTTCGAAGGAGAGGGGACAGACAGGCAAGAGAGCCACTGTTGGGTGAATGCCTATTACAGATGAATCATGTAAAATCCTTTACATATACTCACTTACCTTATCCTCACAACTCTGCGAGGTGGGTCTTGTCATGATGCCCATTTACAGACAAAACCTGGGGGATTTAGTATGTTGAGTGAATTGCCTCGGGCATCCCACGAGGTAGGGGTCAATGCAGAGGTGAGGTGCTATGAGATCCCATATCCTCTTGGCTGTCCCTGACCACCTCCCCCTACTATGATTTTTCCCTTTCCTGTCCTGAAAGGTAGGGGTCAGGCTAAGTCTGTCTGTGACAAAGCATAAAGGGAAAGACATTCTTGATTAACAATATTTATGGGAAGATGCCATTTTTGTGTATTTCTCTGTGCAAGAAATGCCATTTGGAAAGTCAGTGTGCATGTCAGTATTTTTTTTGTTTTCCGTTCTGAGAAAAAGCCTATGGAGTCTGGTGAGGGACGGTTTGCAGCTGGCAGGAGCTTTGGCATATGTTGTAACTAAAAAGAGAGGGAATGTGTTGGTGGGACAAGCTACCGGAGAGCCGTCTCGGTGTGCTGTGGGACTAGTAAGTGTTTTAATTGGGTAGGCTTTTTGGAGGACTATTTTGACATCTGCTCGTGTCTTTGCTGATTTTTCTTCACTTGGAGTAGGAAACACAAGCTGTGGGTAAAACGACTTTAAAATAATTGGAAGTAAAGCTATCTTTCTCAAAGTCGAATTTGAGAGGGACACTTTTTTAAGAAGTAAATTCCACTTCTAGGAATCCATCCTGCAGCACGGCGATTTGTGCAGGCAGTTTTCACGACGTTACTAACATGTAATCGTTTCTTAACAACTTGAAATAACAGTCGACAAAAGGGGCTTGGTTGAGTTTTGTTTCCGTGAAGTGAAACATTTTGTAACAATTAGTAATGGTCTTTACAGAGCTTTTAATGAAGTGGAGCATTGCTTCTATGGTAATAAATGAGAAAATCAGAAAGAAACATGTTAAGAATTGTTTCAGCGGTGCTTTTAAAAGTAGGGGTTGGAGCGGAGGGATGTGGAAGGAAACAGCAAAGCATTCTCTCCAAATGGAGGGGTGAGGGCAGCCTCGGCCTTGAACTTCTCTGTCTTCCCCGTTTTTTTACAGTGGGCGTATGTAGTTATGATGCAAAAGGCAAGAGACAGCCGGTCCTGAGAGTGTTAGTGTAACGGCACGCCTACCTGGGGACTTGTTCTGAAGTCCAGCATTGGTTTGGGGGACATCTTCAGAAAGAGTGAGGCTTTCGAGTCACACTGGGTTCAGAGGTCAGCTCTGCCACGCACTGGCTGTGTGATTTGGGGCCGTGTTTTTTACCTCTCTGAGCTTCATTTCCTCATCCTCACTATGGAGATGATAGTATCTCTCTCCTAACATGGACGGGATTGAAGGACCTGGTACCCAGTAACTGTCCCGTTTCCTTCTCCACCAGCACCTCCCACCTCCACCCCCAGTGTGAGGGTTTTTTAGTGGGTTTTTGTTTTTGTTGTTGCCTTTTTCATTGGCTTGTTTGCTTGAGCCCTTCAGGGATAAGACCATCTGGCCGAGCTGGCCTCTGATTCTTTCCCTGGGAACACTGAGCCTCAGGAAGGCCCTTGAGTCCCCGCCAGCCCCTTTGGAGTCGGCCTCGCCACCGGGAGGGCGGCATTGTCCTGTAAGAGGAAACTGTGCCGACCCAGCTCCCGCCTGGAGCCTGGGGCCTGGGGCCTGGGCATTTTGGTTACTAAGGGGACCCTGGCCTGCTGAGTCTGAGAAGAGGGCCAGGTTTTCTCCTCTCCTTCAGCCTGCGCCATTGTTGAAAAAGTAAACACTCCACACAGCTTAACCGGCAAGTCCTCCAGTCAGGAGTGGGAAGAAATCAAAAGCCTGTTCCAGCCTAGCCGTGGAGAGCCCACAAGGGCCGGTCTGTGCTGCTGGGGCCCCACTGGGAACACAACCAGGTCTGGTCCAGAACCGCCATCGCACCCGCTGGGCCTTTTCAGCCCCTGAGGCCTCTCTCCAGGGGCCGGACTCCCAACCCACTTCTGTCTGCAGATTTTGGAAAGTCACATGAGGCAGAATAGGTGATTCTGGGGTACAGCAGCCTTCAGTCAGCTTGGTCCTCGAGGCCCCTGCTGAGCTGTGGCTGAGCCCCTCAGGGTACCTTCTCTGATTCTGTTTCTGACGCGAGAGCCCGGCAGGTAGTTTCCAGAACGGGCCAGCGGATTCTCGCCACTACAGCTGTCAGACTGGCCATGGCTGGTGCATGTATCATAAGCGTAGCAGCTACTGTTTCTCAGTCCTGCTCTGTGCCCAGCACTGTGCACATATCACCGCTATCCCCCACAGCAGCCCAAGTGGAGCAGGGAGGGAGGGCAGTTATTCTCTTGATTCAGTCGATGAAGACGCCCCAGAGTAGCCACATAACCTTGGGGAAGCCGCTTCGCCTCTCTGAGCCTCAGTCTCTCATCTCTGAAATGGGAATGGCGATACTCACCTGTAGCTACCTTGCTGAAAATGAAAGAATCTGTGGGAATGTGCTGTGTGAGCTCTGAAGTGGGACCTCAGTAAAAATGATTGTCATTGACGCTTTTTTGTACCTTCCTGCTGGCATACTGCCAGGTATGTAACCTGGTGATGGCGAAGAGAGGCAGCTGAGGGGCCCTGGGCAGCTCACCACGAGCCTTAATGTTCTCATTTGTACCCATGGGGGTTGTGCTTTGTGAAACACTAGTGATGTGTGTTATTATCTACGCTGTTCACCGATAGCATTTTACCCCGTCAGTAAGGCAGTCAGTTAATATGGGTTTGGAGGGAGAATAAACTTCTGAGGAGGCACTTCCTCTGTGGGCACTTAGTAAAAGTTTACAAATTGACAGGTTTGTGGACGAGCCCCAGGGCCTAAAGAAGTCAATAGCAGAAGAAGCCTGAGGCTCCTGGTCTTGTTAAGTGGAGGGGTCCCAAGATTCTGTCCTCTGCGAGTGTTACTCCAACCCTAGGAAGCTCCTGACAGCATCTGGAAATGTTTACTTAGGTACCAAGTTGTGTCCTAGAGGCTGGGGTGTGAGACAACAAACGTGGACCAGGAGGCATCAGCACTTGCCAAGTGCCAGTCATTTGTCAGTGCTGGTTATTATGCAGTGGTGAGCTCCACAGGAGAGGCCCTGAAGGGGCCTACACCCCAGCAGGGGAGGCAGGCAGGCAGTCACAGGGGTGCTGGGGCTCAGAGTGACACGGGCTGTGTGGAGTGCAGGCTTGCTGAGGGTGTCTGGTGATGAGGGGGATGAGGGTGCTGTGCAGAGAGCATGGGACATGCGGACAGGTGGCCAGTGTGTGTTACCTCCACCCCCTACCTCATTTTCTCGTTACTTATGAGGGTAATAACATGCACTTGGCAGGACTTGATAAGAGCTGAATGACAGAAAGTGAGTAAAGCGTAGCTGAAGCACCAGTAGGCTCCTAGTACATTGTAATTATTGTCCATTTCCAAGGCATTCTTGAATTCAGTGTTAGCAGCCATCGCGATGTCCAGCCCCGTCACTAGCACACAACGCGTGCTCTCAGGTGAATTAGGAAATGGCGTCTCCTCGCTCCTGCCACCACCACTCCCCACTGATGCCCCTTGACAGACACATGGGTTGGCAGTTTTCAGTCCCAGCTTGGCTGGCTGGGCATCCTTGGGTAGTACACACTTCCACAGTCACATGCGGTAGCTCCAAAGTGTGGCTAATGATGAAATTGATCCCTTATGTATAGGGTGACCGAATGTCCCATTTTATGCTTTCTGCCCTGGCATAATATGCTCTCTTTACATCCATAGTGTCCCACTTTGGACAAACTATAAGATCTTTCTACTTAACCAGTGCGCAATGAAATAAAGACAATAGTTCTGAAATTCTAGACTTTAAAGAAATGAACTTAGATCTATGATGTGGTAAGAGAATTGAATGAGATTGGGAGTGGTGGGAAGGCAGGAGAAAAATGGAGATAGATTCTAGCAGTGGGTAAATAGTGTGATTAAACATTGAAAACTCAGGCTACCCACGATCTTGTACTTCTACAGACTGTGGAGAGCTGCTTCCACACGGCGGGCTCTTGTTTTTCCCAGATCGTACCGTTATCCCTTCCTCCCCCCCCCCCCCAAACATGAACACCCAGTCGCCCTTTCCCCGGACCAGCAGAATCATGGCTTATCGCCACAGCTTCTGAGCCATGATGTACCCGCTGGATTTCTGTGGAAAATAGAACCAAGTTGAAAGCAGCATGGCCTTCCAACTTAATGTTTAAGAGAAACGTTAACCCTAGGCCGTACACCGTATTCCATACCCAAGAATGACAAGAGCCAAACGAGAGGTGGGCAAGTCGCCTTCCGTAAGCGAGAGGGGTGGAGCAAGCGCTGACGTCATGACCGCCTCGCTGTATATCAGAATTCTTGGGGCCAGAGCTGTAGATTTCAGCTTCTACTTCAAAAATTTGGAAAATATTGGGACAGAATAACACTGCAGTGTAAAGACGTCTCTTCCTAGCTGTGTGACCTGGGTTACGTTAACTTAATTTCTGTGAAACCTTTCCACTCCTGGGGCGTGGGGGTGACCATACAAGCTCTCAGAGTTTTTTTGTGACAGTTAAATAGCCTCACAAATGTGAACCACCTAGCAGTGGGCCTGCCCCAGAGTAAGCCTTTGTCAGCTGTCCTTTTTTTCCCTTATTCCCTTCCCCAGAGAAGGCCAGGGGGAATATCGTGTCTCATGGTGCTTCAATGACTTTCTGTTCTGGACTCTTTTTGATTTGCAGAAAGTCAGAAACATGGCCCTGGATGATGTCGTGATCCTGAATGTAGACACCAACACCCTGGAAACGCCCTTTGACGACCTCCAGAGCCTCCCAAATGACGTGGTGGGTAATGAGATGAGCCCTTGGGGTTCTGAGTCCCGGGAATACGTGCGGTGGAATGAATGTGATGTACCCCGTTGGGGCCGGGAAAGGGAGGATGGCTATGGCTTTCCCAGGGCCTAAGATGGACGCTTGGTTTCTCTGTTCTCGGGAACCATTGTCCCAGTGAAGAAAGTTGGGAGGTGGTTGGTTCACTTTTGAAGCCTTGTTTTGCTCTCAGAACTTTGATCTGGAAAGTGCAAAGCAATGCCAGTGTCTCCACAGCGCCCCTTTCTGCGGCAGCCATCCCTCCCCAGCACAGTGTCCCCAGAGGTGGGCGGGAGGGCATTCAGCGTGAACGATTTGGGGCACTTCAGACCTACATTTTTTTTCCTGGACCATTCTCAAACAGCCATTTTCTCACATAAGGAGGGTATCTCCTGACAGTGCTCTGAAGGTGGCTTCATGTCCCCTAAATCTTTCTTTGTGACCTCAGGTCTACACAGAATGTTGACTATTTAGCATTTAGCAAAAAGGTATTGGCTGCTACATTTTCCTGGCCAACACATGACCTCATACTTGTCTCGTGAGGCTACTCAGAGCTGCCTCGTGGTGGCTGTTTGAAGCAGACCCAGTGTCCCCCATTGTCCCCATGAATAGGGAGGATTGGGCTCCCTGGGAAACACGGCTTCGATGTTTCTGGTTTGACCTCTCTGGCTCTACCTGCGAGAAGATCTGTAGAATTCTCCTGACTTCCGGACTAAAGGAGTGTGCTGCTGAGGTGGGCTGGGTTTGTGTCGCTGGGTTTGTGTTGTGGCAGTGGGCACTGCCAGGAGTCCCGGTGGCACCGTGGGGTTGGCCCTCTGGAAGAGATTGCTGTTTGCTGGTGAGTGGCTTGCAACAAGGTCTCATACTCCTCTGTGTGTAACTCATGGTGAGATTCTGAGGATGTCATTTGTGCTCTGTAAAGATGTTCCATTTGTAGCATAAACAATGGCTACCATTCATTGACTTCCTATGTGCTGAGCATTGTACTAAGCACTTATCACTGACCTCCCATTTCCTCCTCACACCACTCGACGGAAGGTATTTTTCTTACCCCCAGAGCTAGAAAAGAGGGGAGCCAAGAAGTGAACCCAACTCTGTCACTCCACAGAGCCACCTGGCCCACTGCCTCTCTGGGTGCCATCTGCACTCATGTTCGCATTCAGTTCGCCTCAGAGCCCTATGGAGGAGGCTCTGTCCTTTTCCCAGGGAGGAACGGACCGCAGAGCGCATGTGCCAAGCCACAGACCATACGACCATACAGCCAGCTGAGGCAGAGCTGAGCTTGGAACCCCAGCCTGGGCAACACCAAAGCCTGTGCTGCCTCGCCTCCATGTCCACTGATGCCCACTCTGAGGCAGAGAGAGGTCAGAGGCTCACTTTTCAGCGTGTCACAACAGGGTATGCCGTCTGTAGCTTAGGGCCTCCGGACCATAATTTCAGTTCTTTTGGTCCAAGGAATGCTACCCTAGTTCCCTTTCAGTGGAAAAGCTCTCCTTTTAAGCCACAGGTAGCTTAGGTATGGACCTTGTAACTGCTAAGTGAATGTGGTACGTGAGCCTGAGACATATCACGTGCAAGAAATGGCCAGGGGCCTGGGGCAGCCCAGGATGCGTGGCTAGGGCTCAGAAACCGTGGAGTAGGCTGACTGGTCCCCTCGGCAGTGCTCTGCCCCCATGCTGGGCATGGAGCTGCAGAAATGATGCAGATCTAGCCCTCTCCTTCAAAGGGCACATCCCAGTAGGAGAAACAGATGGTAAATTACATATATATCACAGTATACCAAAATAGGGGCCACAAAGGAAGTAGAAATCAGGCACAGAAGGGTCCAGGGGGACAAAATTTGGGGGAGGATAATGGAAGCTTCCTGAAGATGGCGCGTTCCAAGATGCCTTTGAAATGATTGATAAAGTGCCCTCAGAGAACTAAAGTCACTTGGGTATGTTATTTCTCTCTCTGAGCCTCAGCTTCCCATCTTTTATTTTTTTTGGGGGGGGGTGTTTTTCCAGGACCCATCAGCTCCAAGTCGAGTAGTTGTTTCAATCTAGTTGTGGAGGGCGCAGCTCAGCGGCCCATATGGGGATCGAACCGGCAACCTTGGTGTTGGGAGCATTGCGCTCTAACCACCTGAGCTAACTGGCCGCCCTGTCCACTTCCCATCTTGAAAAGAGGAGTATGGGACCTATTATTAGGATTGTTATGGCAAATAACTGAGACAGTAGCGTCCATCAGACGCTTAGCGTGGTGCTCACGTCGGCGTTCAGTAAATGGCACCTGTGTTTATTTTTAGTAAAATTGTTGCTAATAATTACAGCCAGGGTGAGAGGACCATTCGTTTCCTAACAGCCCTCAGCCTGCATGGAGAGGACCCCCCTGTTTCCAGACTGGCTTGTGGCAGAGTTGAGAATGTTCTGTAGCAGTGGTTTCCAGCGTGGGGCTGTAGACCCAGTAGGGACTCCATCGACAGTCCCGGGAGGGACTGTGGTCCATAGGTACTTGGACTGTGTTTCAATGGAATTCATGGGTTTGATTCTATAAGGCTGTGTGAGTGGTCGAGTCCTTGAGTTGCGTCCCTGCACTTAGTGTAGGACCAACTACCTGTAGAGTAGCAACATCAGCATAGCCACAGGTGACCTCCTAATCTGTCCTTTTGCCAAAGCTGCTTATTTACTGTGTCTGACAGATTCTGCTTCTTAAACATTCTCAAACTCTTCTCCATCCCTCCTAAACGCCACCTGGCCAAGCTCTCATTTCTCCCCTGCACTGTTTGTTACCAGCAGCCCCTGAACTGGCTCTTGGGACTCCAGCTCCTTCTTCCTCGTGCACCAGAGTCACCTTTTTACAACATAAATTTAACTGTATTTTTCTTCTACTTAAAACCATTCCATCAATAAGTATAATTTTTGAAAAAAGGTGTATAGATAAAAAATTCTTGCGTAACTTCCCAGTGCCTACAGATTAGAGGCAAATTCCTTTAGCTGGCTTTGGAATTAGAGAGACCTGTATTTAAACCTTGGCTTCTTCACTTACCAGCCATGTGATCCTGGGCAAAATTACTTAAGCTCTCTGAGCCTTAGTTTCCTCATAGGTTCTTGTGAGAACTAAATGTAATGTATATAATATATGTTAAACACGACCAATGAGCACAATAGAGTGTAGTTAATGGTGATGAATTATGGATGCAAATGATGACTAGCGTGGCAGTCAAGGCCCTCATTCACGATATGACCTTCCTGTTTTTTTCCCATAGCATTAGCTTTCTCGCCTCCCTGCTTCAAACCCTATGTTATAGGTGTCTGGAACTGTTAGTATTTCTCCCAAACTTACATGTTGTTTCATAACTTCATACTTTGCATACAGAGTTTCTTCTGTCCCGCACGCCCTGCCCCATCTGTCAATCTCTTACTCGTTTTTCAAGACTTAACTCTAAACGTTAGGCTCTGAAAACCTTCCCTGACCTCTCCAAGTAGATTTAACTATATCTTTTTCCTTATATTGCTTGTATACTTATACTTATCATCCAGCAGGGTAATTTATTACACATTTCTGGCTTTCCCCTTTAATTATGAGTTCTTTGGGGGCAGGAATCAAGTTTTATTCATCTTTGTTTCTCAGGGATCTAGCAGCCACTGAAGAGATAGATGGAAGGATGGAGGGGACATATGGATTGGGTTATTTTGGTAGATGAAATCTTGCAAAACATGGCATCCGTGCTGGAAATTTTATTAAAAGAGGCCTTTGTTCTGCTTCTAGCCATGATGGAATAATTGGAGCTAGATTTCTCCCCCCGACAATAATAACTGAAACTCAGGACAAATATGAAAACAACTGTTTCTCACATACTGGACAGCAGGCAGTGCAGGAGTACAGTCTGGGAGAGCAAGGAAGGCAACGAGGTGAGCCCTGTGATCCACCAGGCTTTCTGCCTTGAGGCATTTTCTGGACCCTGGGCGAGGAGCAGGACCCCCAGCAAAGCACAGCCATCTTGCTGAGTTGAGAGGTTAGAAAACTGAGTTTGAGGGCAAGGTGGTTTAAATTTGTGGGTCAGTATCAAACAGGAGGGAGCTACTCAGCAAACGAGCTCCAGAAACCTAACTTGGTCTTCTTGACTAATCTGCTGATCTGCCCACCTGGAGGATGGAGCTCACACAGGCTAGGAATCATTCAAGCTCTGCCTCGCCAGAATAAAGAGATCTTGTTGATCGTGCGGGACAGTCATCCAAGACCCCAGGAGGCCATCCCTTGGTAGTAGTCTAAATTAGCTCTAGAATCAAGATTATGATAGCCCTGCCCTAAAAATTTTAAATCAAGCCTTGAGGAGCTTAAGAGAGGGTTTTGGGGGTGCTGGTAATGTGTCCATTTTTTTTTATCTCAGTGCCAGTTAAGTGGGCAAGAATTCATGAAACTGAACACAAATGATATTTGTATTTTTATTATATGCATATTAAACTTCAATAAAAAGTTTTAAACAAAACTGTTGCTTAAGAAAAAAAAGCCTTGGAAGTATCAACCTGATATGTGAGAAATTCAACCTCCTGTCAAAATAAATTTCAACCCTCTTTAAAGAAGACAACAAAATCCAATACTCAACAACATAGCATTCACAGTAACCAGCATCCTGTCAAAAATGTACTAGACATGTTGAGAATCAGGAAAATGTAACCCATAACCAAGAGGAAAATTAGTCAGTAGAAACAAACTCAGAAATGACAGACGTGATGGAATTAGCAGACAAGGACTTTATGATAGACATTATAAAGATTATAAATATATTCATGCATTTAGAGGAAGACCTGAACTTAATGAGGAAAGAAACAAGATATAGAAAGAATGAAAGGGAACATCTAGAAGTGAAAGTATAATATCTGGATTGAAAACTTCACTGATAGGATTAAAAGGATAGTAGGCACCATAGCTTAAAAGATTATTGAACTTGAAGACACACCACTGAAAACTATCCAATATGAAGCAGAGAAAGG